GTGAAAGACTGAGAGCATTCCCCCTAAGATCAGGAACAAAACAAGGATGCCCACTTTCACCACTTCTATTCAATTCCGTACTAGAAGTTCTAGCCAGAGCAATTAGGCAAAAATAAATAAATAAAAGGGTACCCAAAGTGGAACGGAAGAAGTAAATCTATCTCTACCCACACATGATATGATCCTATACACAGAAAACCCTAAAGAATCCACACACATACAAAAAACTATTAGAGCTAATAAAAGAATTATGCAAAAAGTGCAGGGTAAATAAATCAGATGTACTTCTATACATTAATAAGGAGAACTTTGTAAAGGAAATTAAGGCAATCCCATTTACAATAGCATCAAAAAGAATAAAATACTTAGGAATAAATTTAACTGAGGAGGTGTAAGACTTGTACACTGAAAACTACAAAATGTTGATGGAAGCCCGGCTGGGCGTGGCTCAGTGGTTGAGCGTCGACCTAGGATCCAGGCAATCAGGGTTCCATTCCCGGTCAGGGCACATGCCCAGTTTGCGGGCCCAATCCCCAGTTGGGGGAGTGCAGGAGGCGGCCAATCAATGACTCTCTCATCATTGATGTTTCTATCTCTCTCTCTCCCTCTGCTTTTCTCTTTCTGAAACCAATAAAGATATATTAAAAAAAGAAAAAAAATGTTGATTAAAGATGACCTAAATAAATGAAAAGATATCCTGTGTTCATGGACTGGTGACTTAATATGTTAAGATTGAAAGCTGCTGCCTTGGCTGGGTGGCCAGTTGGTTGGAGCATTGTCCTGTACACCAAAAGGTTTCAGGTTTAATTCCCAGTCAGGGCACATACCCAGGCTGTGGGTTCAATCCCCATTTGGGGTGTGTAAGGGGGCAACTGATCTATATTTCCCATATCAATGTTCTCTCCCCCTCCTCTCTCTTTCTCTCCCTTCTTCTCTTGAATCAATCAAAACATATCCTTGGGTAAGGATTAAAAAAAAAAAAAATGAAAGATGCTAAATACCATTAGTCACTAGGGAAATACAAATCAAAATCACTTCACAACCACCAGGACGGCTATTTAAAAAAATACAGAAAATAACAAGTGCAGGTGTTAGCAAAACTGGAACCCTAGTACACTGCTGTTAGGAATTTAAAATGGTACAACCACTGTGGGAAAATGTAGTAGTTCCTCAATAAGTTAAATATAGAATTAACATACGACCCAGCAATTTCACCGCTAGGTATATATACTCAAATGTACTGAAAACAGGTATTCAAACAAAAACTGGTACATAAATGTTCACAGCAGCACTATTCACAATAGCCAAAAAAATCCAATGCCCATTAACTGATGGACAAACAAGATATGGTATATCCATCTCCACAATGGAATATTACTCAGCCACAGAAAGGAATGAAGTACTGATACATGGTAGAACATGGATGAACCTTGAAGGCATTCCACTACATTAAAAAAGCCAGACAAAAAAAGGCTACATATTGCATAATTGCATTTAAAAAATATTCAGAATAGGTAAATCCATAGAGACAGAAAGCACATTAGTAGTTGCCAAGGTCTGGGGAAACAGGGAAATGTGGAGTGACTGCTTAATGGGTATGGAGTTTTCTTTTGGGGTGAAGAAAACGTTCTGGAACTACATAGTGGTGATTGGTTGCACAATATCAATATACTAAAATATTACTGAATTGTATGCATTTAAAATGGCCAATTTTATGTGTAACTTACCACAAAACATTATTCATTGCTTATCTGAAATTTAAATTTAACTGGGCCGCCTGTATTTTATCCAGCAATCCTAGTCCTACTCTAAATCCTGCTCAAGTTTTCCCTTCTCTTCTAAAGTTCTCAAGGAATTGCCTCAACATTTGCAACCCATTCCTTAACTCTCACTCATTCAACAGATGTGCAGTCTGGCTTCTGCCAACAATTCAATTCAAACTGCTATTGTTAAGGTCATTGGTAATATCCTCATTAGCAATTTATTGATTTTTTAGTTCTTAATTGTTCTCCTTCCAGCAACTGACATACAAACTCTCTATTTGTTTATTTTCAAATCCTCACCAAGGATATGTTTTCATTGATTTGAGAGGGAGGGGGGAGAGAGAGAAACATCAATGTAAGCAACATCAATCGGTTGCCTCCCTTACACACCCCGACCGAGGACTGAGCCCGCAACCTGGGTATGTGCCCTGTCCAGTAATCGAACCTGCAACCTTTTGGTGTACAGGACAACACTCCAACCGAGCCACACCAGCCAGGGCCAAACCCTCTTTTTAAAATTATGCTCCTTTCCCTTTTGTTTCTGGGCAGTAAAAGTTAACTCAGCAGGTTTGGGATATACAAATCCTGCACATTCCAAAGGAACTGGCCCTTCACCACATACCAGGAGATAATCTCTAAGCCTTTAGGACATCCTGCCTGATACACTGTCTATATACACCTGGGGCCTGGGGCCATGACAGTTTATACTAACAATGTGATTTGTGGTGGGAGTCTTGAGCTAGGCTGTATCAGCTGGACCTCTGGAAAGGCTACAGATTGAGTAAGGTTCAACCATGTGGGCACGCATGCCTATGTGACTGACGCCTCCCCCCAATAAAAACCCTGCACACCAAGGCCCAAGTAAGCTTCTATAATTGGCAATATCTGTACATGCTATCAAACATCACTGCTGGGATAAATTAAGAGATGTCTGCACAACTCCACTAGAATAGGACAACTAAAAGCTGTGCCTAGTCTCTACACTAGCTCCTTTTTCCTTTGCTGATTTTAATCTGTATCCTTTCACTGTAACAAACCCTAACTCTGAATATAACAGCTTTTTTAGTTCTGCAAGTCTTCCTAGGGAGGGTAGTCTCTGGACCCCTGCCACCATTTTTGTTTGTTTCTCTGTTCTTCTTTCTTTGCCGCTGGGTCTCCTTCGCTTTGCTCTCTCACAAATGCTGGTACTCCACTGCTGGCCTCTTCTCCCCTTGCTGCCTGCAATAACCTCCTCCCCACCTGGCCCAGGCAATTTAGCTCACTTGTGGTTCTGCCTGCCACCTGTCCCCAGCCCCGTTTGAGACCCTGGCCCGAACCCTTTCTGCCTGGAAGGCCATCTCAGCACAACCAGAGCAGACTCATCACTAATCCTTTACCCAAATTCCTTTCTGCTTTGATTCCAATTTTAGTTGCTGACTTCTATCAATCCAGAGACCAAAATCTTCATTTCCCAATCCAGTCAGTTACCAAGTCTTGTCTTTCTCCCCTTTTAAACATCGCTGGAATTCAAACTTTCCATTCCCACAGTTCTGGCCTTTGTTTCTCAGCTGAGTTCTTGCATACATCTGTAAAATATTCTCCAATTCATCTCATGCACCTCCCACTCCCAAATCTAGTACTACCCTACTTTTTACCTAACATTTCTTAAACACCAATCTGCCCAATTAGTCCCCAATTTAGATCCCTTTTGAGAGAGTCCAGACCCTGTAGACGTAGGCTGTTAAGGAAGGCCATAGGCTTTTGTGACCCAGATACTCTCTACCTCCCTAGAACCACCCTCTGCCTTCCTTCCACTCCCAACTCTCCAACAAGGCCCAACCACACTCACTAAACATTACTGTCTATGTTATAGGACCCACTCTAGGCACTGGAAATTAATTAGACAAAGTTAACTCAAAAGGCTACTTTCCAACAGGAAAACGAATTAAATAAACAGAATAATTTCTAATACTGCTGAGGACAGTGAGGAAAATGAAGCTGGAGAAAGTCACAGAGCATGAACAAAGGGAAACAGGGTACTGTTTGGATGGGGAAGTCCTCTCTTAAAAAGTCATCTTTGAGAGACCTAGATAATGGTGGGAGGGATATTTTTAAGAGAAATTCTCAGACTCCCCAATGTTTACAAATGTTACTTGTATTGTTACACATATATGTCTGGCCTGTATGGCTCAGTGGTTAAGCATTGACTCATGCACAGGCAGGTCGCTGGTTCGATTCCTGGTCCGGGCATAAGCTAGGGTTTTGGACTCGATCCCTGCTGGAGCGTGTAGGAGGCAACCAATCCATGTTGTTTCTCTCTCGTGGATGTTTCTCTCTCTCTCCCTTCCTCTCTAAAAAAATAAAAACATACTAAGAAAAGTTACATATATACAATCTCCACAACCAAACCTGAAGCCCACTAGACTGCTCCTGTTATGGCAGTAGTAAGTTTCCTTCTCATCTGAGCTACTTGCCATGAAAGACATTCTGCTTGGCCATAGTTGAGAACCTCTGGCCCAACAGGCACTCATACAATTCTACTCTTCAAACTTCAATTTTAGGGAGAAAATATCCCAGGGGTGCAAAAGAGGTCAAAATGCAGAAGAGGGGGCTAAGAGGAAGATATTAAGCTCACTAATTCTGAAATGGCTTTTTAAAGCAGGAAGAATCAGTAGCAACTAAGGAAAACTAACCAAATCTAAACAAGAATAAGGACTTTAACTTTGGAGGGAGTGAAGAAAAAACACGCATGGAGGAAAATCCTGAAATGTAAGTGAAGTTGTATAAGATTCTTATTTTATAACAAAGTATATGAAAACCAATTTTTATTAATTATTATTTTTATATGTTTTTATTGATTTTAGAGAGAGGAAGGGAGAGAAACATTGATAAGAGAGAACCATCAATTAGCTGCCTCCTATTAGAGATCAAGCCCGTAACCCAGGCATGTGCCCTGACTGAGAATCAAAGTGGCAACCTCTAGGTGTATGGCACAACGCTCAACCAACTGAGCCACACCGGCCAAGGCCAAAAACCAACTTTTAAAAATTGGCTTTAGAAAATTTCTGACTAAACTTTTATCCTAAAAATGCAAAGTAACTGTGAAATAAGGATGGTAAACAGAGAGAGAAAAGTGAGAGAAATTACTTGAAAATAGGACATTTTAAGGTTTGTTATTTACCTGCACAAATTAGGTTACAATTAATTCACAATAACATACACTACCTTCAATATGTCACAGACAAGAACACAATTAAGTCTCCTCAACAGATAAGTTTATTACAAACCAACATTCTGGCTTTTATAACTGTTTCACAACATGGTACAGTGCATATCTACAGCATTTAAGAGCAGAAATGCTAGAAGGCCCTTCAGAGAGCAGAGGTGAACACTTTCTCATGGAGGAAGGCCAGCTTTTCTAAGCGAGTTCGTTTCAGTAGTGGGAGCCATTCCCAGTGGAATAACTCTACCACACGGTACCCAACCCGATTCAGCTGCCGCCTCTTCATATTGTGCAATCCAAGCAGATCCCTGGTACCATAGCAATACTGGTTCTTGTTTGTCAACTGAATAGCCAGCTTCACTTGCGGGGCCTGCATGCAGGCTGGTGGGCATGGGCCAGCCATCTCCATAGCCCCCAATCTGTCTGCCACATTGTTAAGGGAGGCCTTCAAGGGTATGGATGCTTTCTTCTCTAATTCCATGGGCTGCTGCCCAGTCTCTGTCACAATTTCCCCCTGGAAATGACCTCCTGATTTCCCCTTTAGTAGCTGATTCATCAAATCATCTGTAAGATTGATTCCCACATGCTTGAACCTTAATTTGGCTATATCTTCAGTAGGTGTGGCTTCACTGTTAAATGGTAATGGCTTCATATTAACATCAAGCTGGACCTCCAAGTCAGAAGATCGGGTATGAGGCAAAATCATATGGTGTTTGATATACTGGGGCCCACCCAACATGGTCTCAAGTAAAAAGAGAGCTTCTAGGAATTCAGGCTTTGAGCTCATATCATTCCTAGCTGCATTCCACAGTACTTCTGACCCCTCTTGCTGAAGGTGAGAACTAAGACGGTTGCCTCTATAATCTGGACACTCAATGCCAACTGAACCGTCAAGAGTATACAGCTCCTTAATTAGTTCAAACTTACTTCTCTCCTGAGCTAACCTGACGAACCCTGGACTCAAAGCGAAATTGATGAGCTCTACTGGAAAGTACTCAGAAAATGCAAGACCCAGCAGGCAAGTGAGCAGGTGTTCTGGGTAACGGTTGAACTCAGGCATCTTTCTGTGAATCTCATTTATCAGACTAGAATAAAACTCTTCTGCATTGGGTGGCTTATAATTCAGAGTTCCAAATGACCACAGAAACTTGGCAACATCTTTACTTCGACAGTATGCTACCCTAGGAGGCACAGAAGCAGCCACAGCATTCATTACCCCTTCATCCAAGATGCGTAAGGCAGAGCAGGCAAGAGTCAGGTGCATGACACCCTGAACTCCCAGGGAAGGAATTCGCTGAGGAGCAATCTGCCCAAATTGCTTCATGAAATTTACATGATCCACGTGAGTGAAACGGAACATTTTAAGAATATTCACTAAGGCATAACTACTCAGATGCTGCATGTCAGCACACACCAAGTCTCCAATTTTCCGCATGACAAATTCTGAGAGACTACTACTTGATTTAAAGAACCCCAAACAGATTGTACCAGCCTCCTCTAAATTGATAAAATCTATATACTTGAGGATCAATGATTCCAGTTTTTGCATTAGATCCTGGGGTACCTGACGATTTTCACCTATAATATAAATCAGGTGAATCAGCTGGGACAAGGATAGGTCTTTCCAGTGCAAATGAAGATAACTAAAAAAGATTTTTAAAAACCGAGGCACTCTGCGGCCCAAGTATCGCCAGAGGTCAGCAACCAAGAGTAGCTGATCCAGATTCATATCCCACACCTTATGGCAAAATCTGGTTTCATACACATCTAGCACTGAATGGGAATGAGGGATTCCTAAACTGACAAAGGCTTTCAAAATACTGATCAGATCTGGGGTCTCAAAGAGATGTATGTTTTTCACACTCAGCTGGCAGAGCAATGCAAAGTTGGCACTGGACAGCAAAACAGGATGTTGCTCTGAAGGCATAGAGCTCAGCTTACAGAAATAATCAGCAATGATTTGAGGCTGGAGATTATTTTGATAAACTGTGACTTTGTGCAAAATCAGTTCACCTTCTGAAACAGACAGGGGCTGACAAGGCTCAGATTTGCTATAACTGTGAAGCTGGTACTCTGGTCTTAGCTGGAGGAAAACTCGGGGGTCTTCAAAGGAATCAAAAACTTCTACATCCTCTTCATCGCCTTTCGTAGCCCTAGGGGAGCCTGATTTCAATGCGCTGGCCTTAGAGGCAGAAGCCCTGCTGAACTCCAAACCCAGGAGGGTACCGCTGGTCGTCAGGATCCCCCGAGAAGAGGAGGTGCTACAAATGTGCTCAACTTTTCTGGCAGGATGGCGGAGACTACTGTGTTCTGGAGGGTCCTGTCCCTTGTGCCGTGTGCAGTTTCCCACATTCCAATATGCCACACTTTGGGTTGCACTGTAAGCAAAAGGGTTGCAAAACACTCGACATCCTAAAGGTTTTAATAACTTGAGAGTGGCTACCATTCTGGTGTCAGTACTGATCGTTTTGGCAGTCAGAACACAGTCCTCACAGGTTTGACCAAGCAATTTCTTGTTTATATGGTGCTTGATTAGAGCTGGACAGGGAGGCGTTCCACAGAAACTGCCTGGAAATCTTCGGCATATCACAAGAGCCATGGATCACAAATGACTGGGCCAGAATTGGTGCCAGATACTGAAAAAAGGGTAGATGAAGAATAAGTGGCTTCCACCTATCACAATACCAAAATTTACACATTATACGAAATGAGTTAAAACTCTGCTGTCCACTTAAGTAAGTTCAACACTGGTGAATGCCCAAACCACAAGATAGCACACATCAAGGATAAACTCCGTGTGACTTGCATAAAGACACAAGAAAACCTCAAAACCAGGGTACTACTGGACAGTTCTTCAGAATGCCACTCAGTCCAAACTTCCTTCTGGACTTCCTCTGACCTCTGGACAGACTTCCTTTATGGCAGAAGGAAAGTAGTGATGGTTAGAGAAGAGACGGTTGCTCTGTTAACTTCCAACAGGAAGGAAGGCAGACTTTCAAAAAGAAAACTAGGAACAAAAGTGAGCAACCTATTCCATCTCTGTGGTATCAATGCATAAAGACCCATGTGGAGAATAAGAAAGTTGGTAAAAGCTGTCATGCTAACACCAAAAGTAAAAAGTGGGATTTGGTGTAAAGTTTAATTGGTTATACTCAAAATAACCCTTCTGATTCCCCAAGCACAAAACTTTTGATTACAGAATTCTGTTGCTCTAATGCTGTTCCTATGGCTGTTGGAAGATGCCTATTCTCCTCTCCAGGAGGCTTGTAAGAGAGTTTGAACCACTATTGCAGAGTAGTCACGCAATTGGGACATATACTCAAAAACTCACTCATTTTGAGGGGTGCAGGCAGAAGGCGAAGATCCTGCTCATTGTCAGTTCATGGGTGGAAAACAAAAAGGTTCTCAAAGCTGGGCTCAGGGTACAGGGAACACCAATTCACACGACTGCCCTGCTGACAAGCAAGGGGAGCAGCACAGCTTTCCTCTGGAGGCGGTGGATTAGCAATGCTTTAGTGAGTCAGGTGTTGATTATCCTGCAAGTCCCAGTTTTCTCCCACAGTAGAAAGCATGAGAGGATATGAACTCTGCTGTACTCTTGCTTTCTTGAAATGCTTATTGTCTTTCCTTGCACGTGAGAAATGCCAAAGCCTGACAAGCAAAATCCAGGGAGCCCTGAGCTGCCAAGATATGGACCAGACAGGGCTGGTGCTGCAAAAAACCCCTCAAGAGTTCTGAGGGAAACAGAATGACTTTCTGAAATGCCCGCCCACCTCCTGTCAGCCCCTTCTGTCCAGAGCCCATAGTGTAAGATCTAGGAGACCAAAGGGCAGGTTAGTGGCTTTGTTCAGATAACTCAGAAAGGTTTCTCTGGATAGCAGGAATGTGTGCTCCAATTTCTTTGTGAACCAGAACAGAATTCTTTCACATGAAATCATTACACATTTGATTCTCTACTGTGGCCTGTGGACCCATTCTGCACTCCAAATTTCAATCTATGGGTCCGGATGCCACAGACGAAATATCAGCAAATTATGGCCCAACTCTAGCCCTCCACCTGTTTTTGTAAGTAAAGTATTATCTGAACATAGCCAGGTCATTCATTACTGTTTATAGCTGCTTGCTCGCAATAGGAGCAAAATTGAGCAATTGTGGCAGAAAATATACGGCCTGCAAAGCATAAAATATTTACTACCTCACCCTTTGCATAAAGTTTATTATGGACCATAAGTTTATTCCTACGAATGCAGATGGCCACCTTTTTAAAAATTAGAAAACATTAGGAAAATAATACTTAAATTTTATTTTTTCTTTAATATTTAGATAATTAAAGATTTATACCTCAGAAAAAGTCACTAGGAATCTCAATTAATACTGCAACATAGGCATGGTGGAAACAAAAGAGAGAGTTAGTAATGGGACTCTCCAGGTGACAGAACAGGGCTTTTAAGAAGACTTGTTTTGGATCCTGGAATGTAAATTTAGTCCAACACAATGTGCAACTAAAGCCATAAACTATTCAAATCTGTAGTCCTTCATCTCATCTTGGGAACTAGATCTGAAGAAATAACTTGTAAAAAAGACAAAATATTTTTTTACAAAAATAGCTATGCAGTCTAAACAAAAAAACTGGGGGAAAAAACCCCAAATGTTCATCCAGAAGGGGGAGGCTGGTTTACAGAATGTGTAGCAGCCATCAGTACATGAAAAAGTACATACAAATATCAGTGGGATAAATAAAACACAAATGAGTGCCATCACCTAAAATACCCTTATATAAAAGGAAAGTAGTTATATAATGTCTTTGTGAGGGACACTTTGTTATACCTTTGATAAATGAACTTTTTTCACCTTTTTATTGGGGTTAAAAGTGTTAATACAGAAGAATATATGGATTAATTTAACAAATACCTTTATAAATTATATAATTTTAAATTACTTCAATTAATACTACCTAACAATACTTAATAAAATTATTATGCATGGTCTTAAAGTTAACAAGAATCATTTCTTAGAACATCAATGTCTGACTGGTGCAGATTCCATGTCTTGGATTAATGTGGCTCTTTTTCATTTGTAAAACTACAGGCTAAGTCCCAAGACGGAAATAAGAAGAGCCACAATTGTCTTAGGGCCTCTTCTGTGCTAAGCCTTGTATGAGCTATTTTATCTGCATTCATTCCAATCCTTATAGGATTTCTGTAAGGTAGGATTTATCGTCTCCCTATTGATGAGGAAAAGAGGACTTCACAAGACTAAGAAACCTGCCAAAGGTTACAGACAAGGCACACAGTGAGTCTGATTCATNAGGTAGGATTTATCGTCTCCCTATTGATGAGGAAAAGAGGACTTCACAAGACTAAGAAACCTGCCAAAGGTTACAGACAAGGCACACAGTGAGTCTGACATCAAGGATTGTCTGATTCATTCCAAAACTAACATTGCTGGTGTAATGGATAGACAATAGGGCAGTCAGATTCCAGACAGGGAAGTAGGGAAGACAATCTATAGGGTGCAGGGAGCTGGAGGGTTAGAACCTAATGAGGTCAAATGGGCCCACCCACCTCTAACAGTCTGGGAATCTATCACTACTGTTAGTTTATAAAACAAAGAGAAGACCTCAAAGAGGGAAATCTACATAAAGTAGTGGGCTTACAAGATGCCCCAGTATCAAGGTAAAGAGATCTAACACATTTGAAGGCCTGAAAGTTGGGAAGAGAGATATGGGATCCAAAATTTAGGATTCAACATAAGAGAGAAGCAAAGGAAAACCCCAGGATAATGATGAAGGAAGATCCCAGGACTAGAGCTGCAAGCAAACATAAAGAGCAACCAGTTTATGCTGGAGGAGATAGTTGTTACCTGGGAAAGGAGATTTACACTTCTAATTGATAATCTGGGATAAGGCAGACAGAAAACCAAACCAATTAAGAATAACAAAAATTAGCTGCAGGAAAACAAAAAGGTTGTACAAGACAAAAAATGTTATATTACATTCCCTGCTCAATTGTGAATAATATTTATATAATCCTATTAATATAAACCTTGAATATCAAACTAACCAAAAATTATGAGCAAACTGGCCCTGGCTGGGTAGCTCAGTTGGTTAGTGTGTAGTCCCGATACGCCAAGGTTGCAGGCTCAGTCTCCAGTCAGGGGACATGCAATAATCAACCAATGAATGCATAAAATAAGTGGAACAACAAATCAACGTTTTACTCTCTCTCTCTCTAAATAAAATTTAAAAAAAATATGAGCAAACTAGCTTGGCCAGGCGTGGCTCAGCGGTTGAGCATCGACCTAGGATCCAGGTGATCAGGNGTTCGATTCCTGGTCAGGGCACATGCCCGGGTTGCGGGCTCGATCCCCAGTCGGGGGCGTGCAGGAGGCAGCCGATCAATGACTCTCATCATTGATGTTTCTATCTCTCTCTCCCCCTCTCCTTTCCTCTCTCTGAAATCAATAAAGATATATTTAAAAAAAAAAAAAAAAATATATATATATATATATATATATATATATAAGCAAACTATATTCAGAGGCTAAAGGGAGGTGAAGATGGGTAGGGAAAGTTAGGTAGTGATAAAAGAGACCTAGAGACTCAAAGTCCACAGAGAGGTCAAAAGATTTTTATAGATATTGATATATATCTCCTAGAAATAAGAAAATAGCAACACAAATATGTTATTCAGGAATATACTGATAAATGCCAAAGAAACAGACAAATAGTTGATAGTGCCTCTAGGAAACAAAAATAAAGGGAGAAAAGAGAGGAAATTAGTATTTAGTGTTATAAACTCTATCAAACTATTCGACTGTGTAAACCATACCCGTGTATAACTTTGACAAAAATTAAATTTACAAAATGCATGTGCTAACAGGAAATTAAGGTATTCATCAAGAAGACAATCAGTGAATAGAGAAAGCAATCTTAATATTCAAGGAAAATATTGGAAAGCTATTCCCAGTGTCAGCACTTTAACTGTCTCCAGAACTTCTTTATGGATGCTCACAGAATGGGCAGAAATGATAACAAAATCATCTTAGAGGCATGCAGAGCCAAACTGCAAATAGCAAACAGTAGCTACTTACTTTTTCATCATGGAACTTTTAGTGTTACGTGTACAGACACCATATCTATATATAAGTATGAAATATGACCACTTCGGAAGCTGGGTCTTAAATACTGCAGAAAAAGGGAAGAAACACAAAATACAGAACCAATAAAGCAAAATGTGGAGAGAAAAGGAGGTAAGGATGTGTTACACAGGTAAAGAAAACACAGCTGAGTTAGTTCCTCCTTACTTAAAGACTCCCAAGAATCCATAAGAAAGCTGAGAACACCATGAGATGCCCAATGACTCCTGATGCCTTCTATAAAGGTTCAAAGATATGTGGCATCATTTCACAAAGCCCCTTTCCTAGTTTAAGTGCCCCAAGTATAACCAGCTCCCCACCTCCTCTTTAAGGGTCTTTACAAACCAGAGTGGAAGCTGAGAGACCCCGGGAGCATGGTTGTGCTCAATAGCACTGCCCAAACCACTCTGAATCATGTGATTTCATAGGAGTGAGGAATCTTACTTCTGCCTTCCAGGTGCAGGTCTGAGCAAGGTCGAATAGCTTCGTTTTAAACTACAGTCTGGAAGTTAGAGGAGAGTCAGGTGGAGGAAGGCAGCCATGCTAACTGTAGATTAAGTATATAACACCCTCAGCATATTCCAGTTACCAGATCTCATCCCTTTATTCTGATTTCTGATCTTTCTGCTAGAAAGGTTTAACCCTCTTATGTCCTGATAAAATTGGCACAAATAAATGGATACTTCAAAACCCATTCTTATCTTAGCAAATAATTTAATGGGCAACCCTAAGAATTAAAAAACCAACTTTCTTTAAGTGCTGGAGTCTCCTGACGACAAGTCTACAAAGCTTTAATGCCCATGGTGAGGGTTTAGAAGCTGACAGTATGGGCCCTCAGCTGTTAATGTAGATGTAAACTAGGCTAGACTCTTCTGTGCTTATTTCCACAGGAGCACAGCCTACAAGATGGGTATCTACAACTACCATGAAGGTAAAGCATTAGTGCAAAGGTGTTTAAGTCAAGATAAGTATTGCTCACAGAGCTAAGTCAAACCAGAATCAGGTCTAACAGCCCATCCCCTCTACTTCTAGTTTCCATGCTATGGGCTAGAAAACAGCAAGTAACAGTCAGTCATCTGTGAAACTTTTTTTTTGGCTTTCATGGCCCTCTCCTCCCCTTCTAAGACTCTGCTTTTCCTCTCTCAGAATGGCAAGAAGGGCCTGAGTAGATACAGTCTGACGAGGCCCCACAGATAATTCTGTTAGAGCCACTGCTCTTAAACAGTCTGGTAAGACTGTCGTTAGAAAGTTTCTGACTATAACGAAGAGAAGAAACTCATGTTCTCTCAGCCATTTAAGTGAGACTACTAGAGGACTGACAAAATCCAGGCAGATAAAGAGAACTATCTGTACCCACAGTTATATAGTTAAATTCCCAAATGGTCCAAGTACAATCACTGTTAACTCCATCAAACACTTGGTTTTAAATCTGTTTTCCTAGATTTGCAAGGCCCCACAATACAGTATTTCAGAAAAGCGAAGGGGGAACCTCAAAATTCTTTGATATCAAAGTTGACTTATTTGCATGATGAATGACAAGGCCTTATTGGGGAACAGAAAAATAAACCAAAAAAATAAGAAAAAGAAACCAATGAATGGGGAAGAAAATCAAACTGACAAATCGGATCTACATTAACTGCCAAAGGCCAATACGACACTTTCTCAGTTGTATTATATATGGCACTGAGCCTTCAGGTTTTATTTTGGTCTATCAGACACTAGTAAGTTCATCCCAGAGCCATTCAGAGTACTGAGCTGCAGAATCTAGTTCAGGAAAGGCAGCTGTTCTAACTACTCAAAGTTTGCCCAAAGTGCAGAAAACATGAGTTCAGATTACAGCAGGATATTACTGAAGCTCAAAACATGAGCCATGTTGGTGCTAAAGCACTTGGCTACCAGCTCCACAGGATGAAGCACTGTCCAAGGATCTACAGTGAGTGAGCAATAAAGTATCACCTCAGGATGTCGATTAACCTAAGTGGTAGAGAGGGCCCAAAGCTTCCTGAGTCAGGACAGAAGAGCTGTACATAAAAAGAGAAGGTAATCACCTGTCTTACTCCTGGGGAGAAAAAAGGGAGTGGGGCATCAATACTACTTAGTTAGGCTTGTGCAGCCAGAAACTGTTCGAAAAACATCGTTTGATATTTACTGAAGACTCACCCACCCCATCCCAGGTTCTAGGCAAAATACTGTAGGGCCTTGCTGCTCAAAGTGTGGCCTGAAAAACAACGGTATCAGCCTCACTCAGAAGCTGGTTAGAAAACGAAGACTCTCAGGCCCCACCCCAGACCTATAGAACCGGAATCGTCAAGATCCCTAAGTGATTCGCATGCACATTACAGTATGTAAGAGGTGCGGCTCACTACATTCTCACAACAGGTCTGGGAGGCAAGTACTGTCATTATCTGTCCCACAGCTGAGAAGTACAGGTTCGGATAAGGCGCTCGCCCAAGGTCTCAGAACTCCGGAGTGGTTGGGGTCGCCGGGTTCTCCCTAGAGCCGGGCCCGCGAGGGGCGCCCGCCACCGGGACG